TTTAAAAACACTGCATAATTTACGTTTCCTGTTTCAAGCGAGTATCACGCCCATGCCACGACTAGCACGACCGTCATCCCACGTCACACATGGCCCCTCTCGCACAATATAATTGAATGCTTGACCAATGCACAACTTGTAAAACCTTAAAAGAAGTGAGTAAAAAGTTTTTGGAAAAGAACTTGAAACCGGCATTTAACATAAATCTCGGACTACTAAACGTTACCTGGGCCGTAATATAATAATATTATATAATAATGAGCGTAATAGTTCAGCGGAGGGGTGGTCTGTGGTTAATTTCCAAACTAATCGTGTCAAGAATTTAATAACGACAGGTGGATGTTAACAGAATGCAGGGAAAACAGGTGTGAAGTGGTGTGGCTCGTGCGTCAGGAGTTAGCGGACAGTAATCAAGAAGTGCGACCAGACTATTATATATCTGGAATTGAACGGGTAGTCATATAATATTAATCCAGAGTGATTGTGTATTTAGATCAAATAATAGTCATCGCGTCGTGAATGGTCATTTTCACAGTTTTAAGTTATCACATACACTTTTGATCCAACGAAGAGCACTACAAATTGTTTACCTCCATTTCTCTAATTAAACATAATGATCATTGATTTACCTCACAAAGCGTGAACTCCAAACTCATGTCACCAATCAGTATTTTCACTGTGGAGCTGAACTACTGTAGAGATGTGTCACGTGGTCCAAGTCCGGCACGTGCACAATAATTTCTGTCACGTGTTCTCATGCAAACACCTCTACCAGTCTCACATCGAATTCCTGAAAAATAATGATGTTTAAAAGTTGCTGAAGCTACAAAAAACTCTGATAAATAATCACCCCATTGTCCTAACGTCAGCAAATCAGAACTTGATCAGCAGATGTTTGAATGATGTTGATAGTATTGTTGATTGCTGAAGTTTTCACACACCATACCAGAAATGTCAGGCTACTAACTGAACAGTTATAATAAAATTCCACCGGCACTGCCATCAAACAGTTTTTACAACACATATTTTAAAATGATAACCCCAGGCAGTGTGTTTGACTTTTGGCTAAAATCTATCACTGTGGAAAAACACAAACTTTCTTACAGTACTTTGTGGCGTTATAACTCTTTAAAATCTAACGAAGATCTATTTTGAATTTTATTTTGATTTTTTGGCCTAACGGTAAGTTAACTTAATTCATGTTGAAATAAAGAAGGTATGCATTGATATGATAGAGGAAATGCTCCTTAATTTCTCAATTTATTGGAGGTAATTTGTCATCCAATCAGGTATGCCACGCGAGAAACTAAAAATGAGTTAAGTAATGACATTCATCGGTTACCGGGAATGTTTCTGGAGTTAAACGTCAGCCATAAGTAGGAAAGAAGTTGCTTTATAAATTATCCTTGTCACATTGGCATTTAAAAATTGACCTTAGCGCAAATAAATTTGATGGACGGAATCGACACAAAAAGTGATTCAAAAATAATGTTTGTTGGGATTTTTAATGGCCATAATTTCCGAGACAAATTAAAAAACACTCCATTTTTACATATTTAGCTCCTTTAAAAAAAATGTGTCATTTAAAAAATCCCAAATTATTTTTGAATCACCCTGTATATGTTTTTAAATGTTTTTTTGAAAGTCGAAAATGAGAGGCAACCGAGATGTCTTAAATCAAAAATTGATTTGAATTTGAGGTGTCATTTCATCTACAAAAACTTAAAGTATCGATCTATAATTATCAATCAAATCTAATTTACATAACATTAGCACTTCAAATAAATCGAAGTTTATCTACTACCTAATCAGCTAATCTGAGTCTCACTAATAAAACCTAATTTCAGACAAGGTGGCGAGTACTACGGGTCAGCTTGTGGAGCGTGTGTTAACAATGCCTGGCTGAACTGCTACGAGTGTGGTTCTGAGCTGTGTAACACTTCCAACACTGTCCTACCTTCAACTGTCCTACTTCTGGGCCTGGTAACACTGTCCTACCTCCAACTGTCCTACTTCTGGGCCTGGTAGCTGCAACACTGTCCTACCTTCAACTGTCCTACTTCTTGGCCTGGTAGCTGCAACACTGTCCTACCTTCAACTGTCCTACTTCTGGGCCTGGTAGCTGCAACACTGTCCTACCTTCAACTGTCCTACTTCTGGGCCTGGTAGCTGCAACACTGTCCTACCTTCAACTGTCCTACTTCTGGGCCTGGTAACACTGTCCTACCTTCAACTGTCCTACTTCTGGGCCTGGTAGCTGCAACACTGTCCTACCTTCAACTGTCCTACTTCTTGGCCTGGTAGCTGCAACACTGTCCTACCTTCAACTGTCCTACTTCTGGGCCTGGTAGCTGCAACACTGTCCTACCTTCAACTGTCCTACTTCTTGGCCTGGTAGCTGCAACACTGTCCTACCTTTAACTGTCCTACTTCTGGGCCTGGTAGCTTCTTATCTTCTAGGGTGACTCAACCTGTGTTGTTAGAACGTTCGCCTAAAAAACTGCCCACAAGTTATATAATTGTAGTTTCATTATTTTAAGAGGGCAGTTTGTTAATGTTTATGGATTTAAAATGAAATTGATCACGCTTAACATATTTGTCCCGCTATAGAAGATGCCTTTATAAGATTACAACTACTGCATGTTAACACTAGATAATATATGTACATTTCAAAGTTTCAAGACGTATAGCTTACAGTTGAATGTTGAAAGTGAGATTAGAGTATTATATTCGTGTAGACTACTGTAGTATACAGTTACAGATACTCATATCACTGTTTTTTGGGGCACAAAACTGCTGACTTTGAAATTCCCTGATAAGCTGATAATTTGTTTGATATATCCTGTTGTGTGAATTTATTTGTATATTTGCTTCCTGCGATTCTTTTATTCACTTAGTCACTCAAGTACAATTATTGTGGGTATAAGTAAGTACTAGTACCAGTGCCTACCTATCTCAGCTGGTAATATGGTCTCATTCTGACAAATTGTACTTCCTAAAACACATTTAGCTCCTTGCTCCTCTTTTGCTGTCGTTATGTTATTTTTAAGACTGCTGAACAAGGGCGGTACTTTTAAAAAGGGTGGACACGAGGGCAGATCACACGATACTCACTTTAACATGGACACGAGGGTGGGATCAAACACCGATTCAAATGATGAACAAGTAATAAACTTGTAACATTACACAATTTTATTTTAACGTTTGTTTTTGATCTTGAACTTACTTTTAACACGCTAATAAATTTAATTAAGCTGCTAACATAATTTAGCCATATTAAATAATTTGATAACATCTGATAAGACTTTACTGGTTAAACATAGGATTACACGTGCTTTCGATGTACTCAATTAAGAACACAATGTTAACTTAAAATTATAGAACCTTATCATCTTCTTACGTTTAAAAGTGTAATCTCTTCGTATGGAAACAGTTGATCAGATTCCAGAATATTATCGTGTATAAAAGTAGGTTGAGGCTTAGAAAATTGTGTAATGCAAAAGGTTTATTACTAGTTCATCATTTGGGACCTAGTGTTTGTTTCCGCCCTCATTTCTATGTTATAGTGAGTATCATGTGATCCGCCCTCGTGTCCTATACCTGCTGAGGTACTGTTACGAGGTATAATATCCCAAAACATGAGTATAATAACGGTTGCTATGATAACTCCGAAATTTTACAAATGTGTATGATTTTGCAGATTGTAGTTATTCAACAGCGATACAACCTCATCGAAAATATTTCATATTGTGTTCTCCTTTTCCAGAATTTCTTGTAGTTGTACATGTAGTCGTTGCTATTGCATAACTTTATAACTGGTGACACAAGTTTGGTTTGTCAACCGGTTGATAAAGGCTTATTAATTAAGGTACAGTATAAGTCTGGCTTGCTTTGTTTAACGAAACGGACCCAAAATAAAGACAAGCTAATAAAATATAAGTAACAATGATCTAAGATTGAGATCAATACAATGCTAGGGAACTGTTGGCATTAATATGTTCCAGCTCCTTTTTACCATTTTACCATGAGACTTAGTATAGTGTCCCTCAGTCCCTGATCTTTTGTGTCAGTTTTATTTAACGTTCGATAAAAGTTGTTGTAATATCAACATTACATCGCGATCACTATTATTCGATGTATTTTCCTCTGATAATTTTATAAGCGTGTAGACCATGTACCAACACAATATATAAATGCTGCACCTTATAGCCATTGCCTACACACATTTCCAACATTCACTATCTATTATCTAATTGCTAATACAATTGTTTCAACTCATGAGTAACTGACAAATTTCTTCTGTTCTTCCACTTTGGAATATTAAACTTTTAAACTACAAATCATTGACTGTGCAGTGCACCTAGTTTGTATTGTTTCGTTAATTAGTTTTACATCGGCCCGAGATTGAAAAACTGATCTGTAAATTTTGTTGCGTTTATATAACATGTATATAGATATAACAGTCTAGTCCATGTAACAACAGGACTGTTATGTTTTCCCGGAGAAAGAAACGTTTATTAAAGCCTAAAGCTTTAGCATGGTTTAATTAGTTTTGACTTTGTTAACGCAGATCTATACTCTAGTGCGCTAAGTAGGCTTTAGCAGTGTCGCTTGAATTAAGTTTACCATTGAACGAACATCAAATGATGCAGTAGTCTCATGATTGAAATACTGATAGTTGGATAATATCCGGTTGGAAGAGACAAGGACAAATGAAACAGGAAGTTAGGAATGTAGGCAAATTTTCGGTGTCAACGTCATCTTCAGGCTCAAATTATTTGTTATATAGTAGTGTTGAAAGTATTAAAACACTACTATATAAGAAATAATTTGAGCCTGAAGATGGCGTTGGCGCCGAAAATTTGCCTACATTCCTAACTTCCTGTTTCATTTGTCCTTGTCTCTTCCAACCGGATATTATCCTAACCATCAGTATTGAACGAACACTATTATTCAGTAGTTTTATATGAACCCAAAATAAACTCCACTATTTGTTTAGTTCCGAGAGACTAGCACGAAAAGCTGGTATGGAATCATGTGAGTGTGTCAACAAAACGGGAGTGGAAATGGACATGATGATGATGCAAATGACATTCTACATAAGCACCAAAGTCACCGTCTTATTCGACATCTGGGACATCAAGACCCTCTCTGGGATCATCCTGACATCACTGTTCTGGGCTCTAGCAGCGTTCCTGTACCAGGGCCTAAAATACTTCAGAGGTTTTCTAAACAAGTCGTGTCAGTGTGGGGTGGAGATGGGGGTGGTGATAAAATTCCTCAGCAGAACCACCAGAAACAGCACAGGAAGTGCGGGGTATGGTGCTATTGAGGAAACTGAGGGGGTGACCGAGGTGGATAACTCCGGGAGAGCGGTCAACTGGAGGCTCCACCTGGTGCAGTCCTCCCTGCAGTTAGTGCAGACTACAGCTGGCTACTTCCTCATGCTTGTTGTTATGACGTACAACTTGTGGTTGTTTTTGGCGGTTGTTGTAGGGGATGCACTGGGGTATCTGGTGTTTCAGAGGCACTCTTTCGATAACTCTGATCACTGCAACTGAGCGGGACTTTACTGACCAGCGGTGGATATTTGTGTGCTTATGTATAAAGTGTTGGTTATCGATGATGATTGAGTGTTAACAATAAATCGTCCAGGAGGGAGAGATAAATGTGGCGCGTGGATAGATTAAAGCGGTAATTACACGAATATTTAAAAATGTTATGGCCGTGAAATGTGAAAAATATTTTAAATTATTTAAACCACCCTTTTTTATCTATATTATATTTTAAACTTGACGAAATTTCCCCGGCAACGGGGACATAGAAGAAAAAACACCGAAAATCGACCTCAAAATGACCCTCTGGTGATGCCAAACCCAGCTCGCAAATGGAGTTGAAACCTCGCCATTTTTAGCAGGGTTGTAGAAAAAGGATAGGAATAGGCTATAGCATTCTTAGAATTTTGATTTAGGCTTTAGATTTTTTATAATTAACGTCGGAAGTGAGGTTAAATAATCGTTAGAATAATGGCGTTATTTAAGCAAAGGTTTACTGCGCTGTTGCGTAGCAACGATAAAAATGCACGTGCGCGAGCAACCACAGATTAACAACGCGCGTTGTTATGCTGTATGATACATCATAATTTCAAAACTAGCTCACATTTACGCTCACGCTATGACTTCTTATAACTTTGTTTGTGATTGCAATATTTTGATGCAGTAAAAAGTATCGATACTTTTTTTTCGATACTAAATTCGCTAGAGCTACACACAATGCTGACATGACGCCGCGCACACACAATCAACAAAAATATTGTTGTTTTCTAATTACGCAAATAACTTTGCGCAGTTAAACATTTTAATTGCCTGGCAATAATTCAATTGACTGTCATTCTCGATTGAAATATCAGAATTTCACAACTAGCTCACATTTACTCTCCTAAGATTCAATGTGAAGGATGGCAAGTGTAAGGTACTACATATTGGGCGTAACAATCCAATGCACGAGTACTTCATGAATGGGGAACGCCTCCCCCAAGTGAAGGCAGAAAAGGATCTTGGAGTTCTAACTACCAGAAACCTGGACTGGAGTGATCATATAGATAAGTCCGTGAAAAAAGCAAAGTCTGTTATAGGCTGGATCAAACGAAGTTTGATCTGCCGTAACAAATTTGTTATGCTAAATGTCTACAGAACTCTAGTTCGACCTCACATCGAATACGCTGTGCAAGTGTGGAATCTACCAGCAGAGCACGGAAACTGGAGGACTATTAAGAAGATAGAAGACGTTCAGAGAGAATTTACACGAATAATCGACGGGATTGGTATCCTACCATACGATGAGAGACTGAGAATCCTCCAGTTAACAACACTACTGGAGCGCCGTATGAGGGGTGATCTTATTGAAACCTTTAAAATAACGACGGGTAAAGTGGACTATGGACAAGATCTTTTCAGGATATCACGTAGCGGTACCAAGATCCTAAAAGATAAAAGAGGAAATCAGGTCCTCAGTAACCGTGTTGCCAATTACTGGAACAAAGTACCAAGTTCGGTTAAAGAAGCCAGTTCAGTAGACGCATTCAAAGCTCGACTTCAATGTTATAAAAATGAACTGATAGCGAGTGGAGCATCGTCAAAGGGTCACTTCTGGGATCTCAGCGAAACCTTGATGTCAAAAATAAATACATGTGAGCATGATTCATATGCACATTTCATGTCTAATAACCCATTGATTGCTAAATACCGAGGAATCAATGTTTCTTGATTGTTAAATTCAGAACTACATGTTAACGTCCTAAAAATAATTAATCATTAAATGTTCCGGATAGGAACATTTTTATTTTTGATAATATTGTGCGAACTGCAATAGCGTAGAGTGCAGTTGGGTTTCAAGTTTTGTCGAGATGGCCATGTGGCCATAATCCTATTATTATTATTATTATTATAAAGGGTCTCAATAAGAGGTCTCGACTGCCTAGGCGTCAAACCTTGGCAGTCGGTAGTTTTCCTCTGGCCCGGGATCAGCTGACCCTAGGGACCAGAGGGTAAAGGTGTAGAGACTATGTGTATCTACAAATCTTTCGAGGTTGTTTTTACAAGAGACAGGGCTTGCTACGCAAGGGAAGAAAACCGGGAGAAACAATCACAAATTATACAAATAAATATTATAAAACCTAGCAAAAAGAAATTAAAACAATCCTACACTACTACAAATGTTTATTACATACTACAATGTAATACACGATAAATAAATGCTGTATTATCAAGAAACAGGGCTTGCAGGGCAAGGGACGGAACACAGGGACTGGATCGACTGGTTACAGAGTGTATAAAACAGTGATTCAGCAAGTACCCATTGGGTATTGCTGAATCTGACCCACAAAATACCACAATCAATACAAGAATATACAATATTTAAACAAACATCATGTTTATACAAGAATCAGGGCTTGCAGAGCAAGAGAAGAAGAATAAGAGAAAAACTCCAACACATGTATACCCCTTAGTCCAGTAAATAACAATAATTACTTGTACACAAAACTGTATTTAATATAAAATACAAAACAAATACACAGTCTACCCAATATACGGGTTAAAAATTGTATAAACAAGAGACAGGGCTTGCATAGCAAGGGAAGAGATATAAGAGGACCAGGTAAAAAGTGTTTATTACAGTATCCAGTGAAGAATAAACTAAATATAGAATATCTACAGTGTATTATACTCTCAATAAGATAATATGTCTAAGACCATCCTGAGAATTCTGGCTGATCCAAGCAGAGCTGTCTTCTGGAGATTAGAGATGCTCAGATTGCAGTGGACTGCGTCGAGGTGTTTACGAAAGTTAATGGTGATAGTTCCTAATGCGCCTATCACCACAGGGACGATTGTGACCTTTCGTAAATTCCAGTTCTTCTTAATTTCTCTTTTTAGGTCTTGATATTTCAGTATCTTTTCTTGTTCTCTATCCAGGATCCGGGTATCTCCTGGGACTGCAACGTCAATGATAGTTGCTGCGTTGGTTACCTTGTCTACCAGGAGGAGATCCGGTCTGCAGTGTTCGATAACGTGGTCCGACTGGACATGGAAGTCCCACAATATCTTGACTTTTTCGTTCTCCAGCACCTTCTCTGCCCGGTGTTCGTACCACCTTTTACTGCGTGGGAAGCCGTATTCCTTGCACAGACTCCAGTGCAATGCGGCAGCTACTTTGTCATGCCGACACTTATATTCTGTCTGTGAAAGTTTTGGGCACCCATTCAGTATGTGGTCTATTGTCTCGTAATGATTTCTGCAGAGTCTGCAGAGGGGAGAAGAGCCAGGTGTTTTGTCAATCCTGTGCTTCACATAATTCGTCCTAAGTGCTTGGTCTTGGGCTGCTATCAACAATCCTTCTGTCTCCTTCTTCAAGTCTTGTTGAGTGAGCCAGTTCCAAGAGGTTAACGGGTCCGCTATACCCATCATCTGCCTTGGGAACTGTTATTATTATTATTATTATGACGCTATATACCTATATATAACTTATAACTTTGGTTGTGATTGAAATTTTTTGATGCGGTAAAAAGTATCGTTTTTGGGCTATATGATGAAGAGAAATTAAAACATAACTGATGCTTAAAATTTCCTCGAACAAAGCTTTCGATGACACTGTCACTATGAAGACATTTTCCAAGTAAGCAACATGACGGAATCTATCGATTAACTATTCCTCCATCGACTATCTCAACATGCCTATAAAGGTCAAACATCAAGCTTTCGAACTCAAACCGACTTGTGTACACTTCTATGATAAATAATAGGTTATATTTCAGGCGATATTCGTATGTTTATAGCTGACAGGTGCGTTCACTCTGTCCATAGAGCTAGCAGAAGATATGGAAGAAACGTTCACAGGGTAAAACATCAGATCCTCTCCATTCTTTCCCTAACATATGAAACGGGAATAAAGATAACGAAATCAGCCACTTAAAAGATAATAAAATATAGGAACCACACTACACGGCAAGGTAAGGTCCTAAATGCTTGTATTAATTCGGTTCGACACTGTTATTTTAATCACTACACACACGACAGGTGCAATTTCGTACAGGGCAAACAAGGAAAATTACCTGAGTGAAGTGGAATTTGTCTGTCCATCAGGATCCGGTAAAGTAAGTTTCAAACTTAACTATACTTCAGTTTACTGACGTTATTCTAAAGGAGTGCTATTCTGAAGAATTACAAATTATACGAAGTGAGACAACTAAGTATCCTGATATATCGTCGTCTCACTTCCTTAGACTTCTAATACCATTTATCATACTGGGTAACTGGGCAAACGAGGTAATCTCATTCCATATCTCCAATTGTTTTCAGACGTTTATAAGTTATTAAATAAATAATTAATTACAATATAATATCCCAGATCGGTGATTTCTGCAGCGAGTGCCCGGAAGGCTACTTTCAAAACTCCCAAACTCTAAGGTGTGACCGGTGCCCTATCGGGTCCTTTGCGGACAAGGAGGGTGAGAGCACGTGTGTGGAGTGTCCTAAACGTGAGTAAACAACAATTAATATTCAGCAGGAAATCTTCGGGCTAACTTACTGCTCTCGTTCACTCGTTGACTGACCATAGTTTTTTGGCCAACGTTCGAATAGCGAGGCCACCAGACCTTCTATTGAAGAAGCTGAAAAACCCTCACCCCATCTCCCCCACAGCACTAACTACGTTCCAAGACCGGAGCACGGCCAGCTCGGACTGTATCTCCAAGTGTACGGTAAAGAAGACAAATAACGGGACAGAGGAACCGGCCCAGGGGTGGAGTGTAACCAGCAGTACTATCATCCAGGTGGAGTGTAAGCCTGAACACTCCCTCGCTACGGCTCTGATACTTGGTGAGTGACGTTCTGATGTTTGGGAACTGGGTGACTGTGAGGATGTTGAAGATGGGAATGTATAATAAGTTTCCAGTAGCAGCGTGTAACACTGGGTTTTGATTGAGGGATTATTGCATCATTTTACGTAAAAGTTTCACACAGACGCAGTTTTCTTGCACTTTATTTATAAATATACACATCTCTTACCTCAACGTCCTTTATACACATATACAGTATACACCTACACTTGTACATCTACATTTATACATATTTACACACCGTAATCACAAGCACCCTAGTTACCAGTACCTAGTTACCAGTCCCCTAGATACCAGTACCCTAGTTACCAGTACCCTAGTTCCTGTACCCTAGTTACCAATTCCTAGTTACCAGTACCCTAGTGACCTGTACCCTAGTTT